TCTTTGCTGACTGCATAAGGGATGGTTACCCAGGTGGAGCAGTCTCTGGACAGCCCCTCCTTCAGTTTCTGTCCCACGCTTTGTCCCCATATTTGCTCTCAAGTACCTAAAGAAATGTTCAGCATCCATAGTCGTCAGGCAAATGCAAATCAAAACAACCTGAGATTCCACCTCACACCAGTCAGAATGGCTAAGATCAAAAACTCGGGTAATAGCAGATGCTTGCAAGGATGTGGAGAAAGAGGAACACTCTTCCATTGTTGGTGGAATTACGAGCTGATACAACCACTCTGGGAATCAGTGTGGCAGTTCCTCAGAATATTGGACATAGCATTTTCTGAGGACCCAGCTATACCACTCCTGGGCATATACCCAGAAGATGCTCCAACATATAGCAAGGACCTATGCTCCACTATGTTCGTAGCAGCCTTATTTATAATAGCCAGAAACTGGAAAGAACCCAGATGTCCTTTAACAGAGGAATGGATATAGAAAATGTGGTACATTTACCCAATGGAATATTACTCAGCTATTAAAAACAATGACTTCATGAAATTCTTAGGGAAGTGGATGGAATTAGAAAATATCCTGAGTGAGGTAACCCAATCACAAAAGAGCAATCATGGTATGCACTCACTGATTATTGGATATTAGCTCAAAAGTTTGCAATATCCAAGATACAACTCACAGACCACATGAAGCTCATGAACAAGGAAGACCAAAGTATAGGTGCTTTGGTCCTTAGAAGGAGTAACAAAATTCTCATGGGAGCAAATATGGAGACAAAGCATGGGTCAGGATTCTTTAGCGTGTGGGTTACAGGGCTGTTAGGCTTGCTAGTCTACTACACAGACTGTCTGTGTTGCATTGAGTAGCACTAGTCGAGTGCTGCTACAAGTCTGTCCATTCATTCAGTCACCCCAAGTCCAAGATGAAGCAGTTACCACCAAAAGTATAAAAGTCAGAACAGAGACAGTAAAAATGAAGCCAAAGAGAAGAAGACATAAAAGCAGGCCAAGAAGCTCAGGTAGGATCCCTTTTTGCCCTGGACTGGAGAATATTCAGGTTCTCTTGGAATCTCCCCCAACCATGCCATGTCCCAGACCAGGATCCAACAGACTAGACTGTGGCTTACCATGGAGACCTCTGTAGACGCTGCTTTTCTCAGAGTAGCAATTTATCTTGATAGTCCCTGAAACTGAAAGCATACCAGAAGCCTGGAAACCTAAGGTGTACATGTCCTACTTCAGAATTTGGGTGGTAGGTCTGGATGGCCTCCAGAAAATGTTAATTCTACCATGTAAGAGTAAGACCACTACCACAATATTGAACCAAATTTGAAACAAGTTAGATTTTTTTCTGGGGTACATCCAAGAGCTGGCCAATGACTGCCTCCTAAACCTGGATAAAGACAACAGCCTCAAGTCCATTTCTTTTTGTTAACTTTTTTTTTTTTTGATTCTTTGTGAATTTCACATCATGTATCCCGATCCCACTCATCTCCCCCATCCCCCCATATCCACTCTGCCCTTGCGACCTCCCCACCAAGATAAAATCAAATGTAATCGATTTTGTTTAAAAAGGTGTCATGGAAGCTGTGGCATGTCTACACATCTTTACTTTCAAGTGTTCACTGCAGTGAGTCACTGGCCTGTTTCAGGGCCTGTGACTTCTGCTCTACTGTCAATACTGGATCCTCAAAGGGACTCCTTTCAGATATCCTGCTGTTATCCTGTGTCATGGAGATCCATGCATCTTTGGATCTTCAAGACTGGTCCTTTCACATTTTCTAGCAGGTCATAGATGGGATAGATGCTGGAGTGGGCCAGCTCAAAGCCCAGGATCTGGACTTAGGATGCAGCTGTGTTGGTGAGCCTGCCAGCTCTCCTGCACCCATACAAGGACAGGCTGTCCAGTATTCCTCCAGCTAGCTCACCCAGTGTCTCAGCCAGCAAGGGACAGAGTCAGCTCTTCTGTTCTCATATCTTCAGGCTGGCTCAGCTGTGCCTTCACCGTCAGTGCCAGCTCTGCTGTGCTGCCCAGGCTACATACAGGGCTGGGCCCCTTTTTAAAAAGTTAAAATCATAAGTAGTTGGGAAGCAGGTTTACAGAAGAGAGACAATGGAGCAATAAGAAATACAGAAAAATCTCAACAAACACCATATGATTAGAGAAGGTGATGGCAAGGGTTAGGAAAGGACAGGGTGTTCTCATAAACAAGTCAAGGTCATGGGTTGGATCAGATCAGGCTCTAGGAAACAGACTTAAAAACAACAACTTCTTTTAAACAACACAGTATGATGGCGTCTGACTTCAAAATGGAGTCAGTCAAAGTTCTTCAACTCAGTTGTCACTTTCTTACTGAGATGTGTCCATGTGCCCAGAAAATGGCTTAAATGAGTCAATCTTCTTACATCCTGGAGATGTGATGTTTAGAAAAACCTGCAGTTCTTTATGAAGCCCATTGTGTAGTAGATCCTGAGATCATCATTTAAAAGCAAAATAGAAGGCCAGAGAGATGGCTCAACAGTTAGAAAAATATTGGCGAGTCTTCCATAGGACCTGGGTTTTACTCTTTTTTTTTTCCTTCTCCCATTACCTTATTTACTTTATATCCCAATAGAACTCCCTCTCCTGTCAGTGCCCCTTTATAGGCCCCCATTCCTCTCATTCCCCCTCCCGTTCATCTCAGAGAAGGGGAAGTTCTTCCTGGGTATCAACCTATCCTGGTACTGCAGGACAAGGTACAGCATCTCCCACTGAGGCCAGACAAGACAGCCTCGATAGGGGAACAGGATCCACAGCCAGGGAACAGAGTCAGGGTAATGTCCTGCTCCACTTGTTAGGGGACCATGAGGACCAGTCTGCACAACTGCTACATATGTACAATAAGGGTTGGACGTGGGTCCAGCCCTTGTATGCTCTTTGGTTAACGGTTCAGTCTCTGGGAGCCCCCGAGGGTCCAGGTTAGTTTCACCCACGAGACAACTCATTCTCTCCAGTCCCAGGGGATCTGATGCTCTCTTCTGGTCTCCACAGGCACAGACATACATGCAGGTGAAACAGTTGTACATATAAAATTAGAATAAAATAAAAATGTAGCAGAGTAGAAAACCACCAAAGTAAGTGTCAATAGACAAATTATAATTTAGTTAAAGATCATAAGTGCTCTTGTTTTCTAGAATTGGGCAACACTTATTCTGTAAAATAGGACAAACGTCCCAAAAAACTGAGGAGTTTCTTTTCATGGAAATTAAAGGGTGGGGAGAAAGCAGAAACAAAAATAGAAAGATAAGTTATCTCAGCATTACGATCCTTTAAGATAAAGACAAGGAAACGGAATCATAGACAAATAATTAACTGTTGACACCAGGTTAACTTATGTATAAAGAACTTCTTATGTCTAGGAAATTGTCCAATTTGGCACATTTTGCATTTTTGTAATCTTTAATCTCAGTTTCTTAAATCAAATGCATACCTACCTTGGTTTCTACTTGGGGACATGGAACTTCTTCAACATGAGTGAGTGACTCCATTGTGACTTTTAGCCTGCTCTACTAGGACCTGAGGCAACAGCTTAGTTGAAAACAATGGTCTCCTATAATTTTCATCTCATGATAGCTGCAATTATTTTATGAAGCTTCTGTTGAAAGTGTGTGTGTGTGTATGTGTGTGTGTGTGTGTGTGTGTGTGTGTGTGTGTGAATTCAGAATGGCTTGTTGCCCCATTAGTCGGCTACCCATGTGTATTAGTTACTTTTCTCACTGAACGACCTCTCAAAGGATAGTTGGTTCACAAGTCATGTTCGATCACAACCTGATTGTTTAGAAAGTCCCAGCAAAAGTGTGAGTCTCACCAGCTCGAACAATTGACTGCTATCCGGGGTTAGATCATGGTCTAGGTTTCAAGACTGGAATACTGTCTTCCGTAAGGATCTATAGGTTAAGTGATGCTTAGTCATGCATCATGGGCTTTTCGGGGGAGGGGCTGTTAAATCGCAGTGTTCTCTCATTTCAAATGGCAATCATTTAACTTTGTTTGGGTAGAGACGGAAGGAAAAAGATTTCCAAGCTCTTTTTCAAGAAGACTTTCTGTTCATTTTTCTCCTTTGCTGAAATCAACCTAATTCCTAATAGTCTATTGTTGTTTAGAACCAGACATGTATTTGATGATGGCTGTGACTTTTGTGTCTGCCAGTGGACAGAGGGACCAATCCACTCATTCACCAATAATTAACTGTCTGGATTCTGTTCTAAAACATAAACCATTTAAATTAATTGAACATCTTGATTCTCCTATCTTTCTAGCTAACTATATAACCCTAACTTCATCCATTCTTACCTCCAATCTCTGAGCCTTACTAAAGGCCTGATACTTTTCATTAATATTTTAATTTAAAGGGAAATCATGAGTTATATGCTTATGTTGTTAATATTTTCTGTTCTTAGCAAAATTGCTTAAGTTAAAGAGAGGATAAAAGGCTTATACTGTTAGTAAAATAGAGAGTGTTTAATCTGAACCTCTTGAAGACTAGGAGAGAATGTGGTTGATGCAGTACTGACCGACTGCATTAGATGGTTCTAATAATATCTGTGCATGCCAAGAGCTGTATGAAAACAGCAGAAGAAAGGTAGACGAGGCAGTCTCCAGTCACAGCAACCAGCTCTGGAGCAGCGGCACTAAAACTGAACCATCTTTCAAAGATAGTGGGTTCTCTGTGCTTCAAAGGGTTCCTAATTTGGCCTGTGGATCCACTCTTGGGTAATGCTGGCTGTTTATATATATTTTTTAAAAAAAGGAGTGAGTTATAGTTTTAGAGAAAAGAGGGGAAAAATATTTTCAGTGCAAGTGCAACAGGGAGGAGCTATTTTTGTAGAGTACCTGTGTTTGGAGCAGTAATCTTGACCATTTGTGACTCAGCCGTTGCATGTTTCTGGCAATGAGCATGCTGTGTCTAATAAGGTGAACTAACATTGACCTTCTTGCTCTTTTCTGCTTAGGGTCATTGGTTTCCTGGAAGCTATTGTTTGCATAAAATTTGGACAAGATCTCTTCTCTAAGACCCAGATACTCTACGTAATGCTTTGGCTTCTTTGTGTGGTAAGTTGTTACTCTCATACTCCAAGTGTGCACCAAGTTTTCCTTAGAAGTTCATAGACATTTTTAAAATTGGACACTAGTCTAAAAGCTTAAGAATAAAACATACAGCATCTGAAATGGGCCACCTTAGCCATTGGCCTGATGTCAAAGAATAGGCTCTGACCTGTACCTCTTTGTCAGCAACATTTGCTGAGTATCCTCTGAAGTCGGTGTTCTCCTAAGATCACCAAGAAAGGGAGTCTCAGGGCTCAAATCACTGCCTCCCCTTCTTTACCAAGTAGGTTGCAATAGAGGCATGATAACAAGAGAACATGAAAACCCGCCTGGCAGTGGTGGCGCACGCCTTTAATCCCAGCACTTGGGAGGCAGAGGCAGGTGGATTTCTGAGTTGAGTGTTTGAGGCTAGCCTGGTCTACAGAGTGAGTTCTAGGACAGCCAGGGCTACACAGAGAAACCCTGTCTCAAATAAAAAAAAAAAAAAGAAAGAAAAGAAAGAAAAAGAGAAAGAAAACCCAATCTGTATGCAAATCTACATGATAGAGTTTTAAAAGATGGGAAGGAGAGACTTATAAGAGTAGTACCCTAGTGACCTAAGCCCTTCCACTGGACTCTGCATGTTGGTGGATCCCACCACCTCCCAGTTGCAACAAGCTATGAACTAGGTTAAAATGGACCTCTAGGGACATTTAAGACCCAAAGCATAGCAAGTCCTTGCTACCATGCATATTTTATAATCAAAAAGAATGGAAACAGAATTTCAATACATCTTCATACCACAACCTTTATTAAAGAGCAAGATTGAGCTCCCACTCAGAAGTGAGATGATCATGATTCACTAAGAGAGAGGTAAGTTACACCACAGTACTCAGAGAAATAAAGCCTCTAATTATTCCCTTTGCTTGACAAGGTACCATGCACGGAACTTGAGATTAATGTGGAAGCAAGCATCTCATGTGCTACCTAATAAAGTTGCCAAATACTCATAGATTTTACTGTTTATTACCTTACTGTGAAAGCTAGGCTGGAGTGTGCATGCTCACTGCTTCCTGCCCATGGGCACAGACTGCCTGGCTTTCATTCCAGAGTTCTCTATTCTCCCTTCCTTGTCCCTCTTTAAACAAAATCTGTGCAATTGCTATTTTAAATCCAGATCTTGACATTTTAAGTGGATACTTGCCTAGATTTCCACAGGTATGATGGCAAACACATAAATTACAAGCTTTTGACTCTTGAACCAAGTGAAAAATGGGCCTCTTGTACCTAGGTGAGGTAGTAGATTTGGCAGCCACAGCAGGCTTTCTGTGTAGTGATCACGATGAGAAGTGCCTTTCCTTCCTACCTGCCAGTGTTTGCCTGCTCCCTCTGCACAGCCAGCTCTGCCTTTTTTCCTATTGGAGGGAACCCCAGCTGCCACCTGACAGCACAGGCTCAGGAGATGAGAAAAGGAAAGAGCTTGCACACCTGCCATCTGATGGCCAAAATATGCAATGGCAGACTAGAGGAGACATCACCTTTCTCCTCCCAGAATCATTCTGTAACCACTGCTTTGGGAAGAGTGGCTTAGCTTCCCTCTCCCAGTGCGAAGCATACGACATCCTGTTGTTCTTTGTAAAATCCCTAACACATACAGAGGGTCTACTGTCGGGGTCCAGCCTCGACACAGGATCGGAGTTCTCAACTGGAAGCAGGGATATCTGGAAGGCGCATAATATACACAGACTACTTTTTGGGTACAAGCTAACAGGCAAATTTTCAAAGCTTGAAGTTTCTCTCTCTTCTCTCTCACTCTCTGCTTTCTTTCTTTCTTGTTCATTCCCTCGCAGCTTGAGGCTGCACGCACTCTACATTCTCCTGCTCACTCTGTTTTTCTCCTGTGCTCTTTTCTTTTCTTGAACTCCCACACTCCTACACACCTCTGTGCGTTCCCCTCTCACTCTCACACACACTCTTTACACACATCTCACACACACCACATGTACTCTCCTTTCACTCACACACACTCTCCATACACTCCTCACACTCTTTCTTCACTCACTCCTCACATTCTCTCCTCACTCCTCACATCCTCTCTTCACTCACTCCTCACACTCTCTCTTCACTCACTCCTCACACTCTCTCTTC